CAATGTTGAATTAATTAAAAAAAAAACTTTACATTACATCTATAATGTGTCCTAAAATCCTGTCAGTTGTTTTCAATTAGGTCATTTTTTTTAATGTAATAGACAAAGATTTACCACATTCGCAGAAATTCTATACTTGAACGTGTGGATTACTTCACATTCCTTAGTAGATAGGTGTTTTGTTAAAAACGCCTATTTAAAAGAATTTTCCACATGACCAATTTCTCTGTGCTTTTGTCTGTAGTGTGTGCCTGACATAAGCTCCAAACAACGAGCTGTCTTCTGCTGTAGTTACTTTATGTTCAAAAGACAATCGAAGTCCTGTTACCCTTTCAAACTATGTAAAATACTACTAGAAAGAAAATGGGGGATTTCAAACTAAATGTCACCAACGTACAGATTATTTTTTAGTATCCTCTTTTTATTACATCTTTAACAGTCATTGTCCTGCTCTGCCCCTCTGGTTGAGCCCGTAATCACATGTAAATGACACATATACCAATCATCTTAGACTAGATCAACATTATCTAATAGAACTTTCGGCAATGATGGGAATATTCTATATCTGCATTGTCCACTACAGGAGCCACTAGCCACACACATTAGGCTATTAAGTACTTGAAGCATGGCTAGTGAGACTTTGAAAGTTTAGTTTTAATTTTACTTAACTTTGAATTTACATAGCCACATGTGGCTGGTGGCTCCCATACTGACAGCACAGGTCTAGGTTTTTGTGTCGCCATTGTAGCCACTCTTGAACAATTTTTCAAATAAATACGCCATCATGCCTGCTTGTGTCATGTTGTGTTCTAATTCTGCTCCACATATTTAAAAATGTTATCTATCTGATCTGAAGTTTTAGTTGAACCACTCCTCAGTGTTAGACGTTAAACACGCTTTTAAATTTTGTTTTCCAAAAAGCAATTACCCAATGACCATTTTCCATCCCTAGAACATATATTCCTTCTTCATTAAACGCTTCTGTTAAAGATACCCGTGTCTGAGTCCATTTGGGTTGCTACAACAAGATATCACAGAGTGGGTGGCTTATAAACCACAAAAAATTTATTTCCCACAGTTCTGGAGGCTAGAAGTTCAGAGCCCCAGCAGATTTGGTGTCTAGTGAGGGCCCAACTGCTGGTTCATAGATGGCATCTTCTTGCTGTGTCCTCACATGGTAGAAGGGGCAAGAGATCTCTCTGGACCCTCTTTTATAAAGGCACAAATCTCATTCATAAGGGCTCCACCCTCATGACCTAAGCACCTCCCAAAGACCCCGCCTCCCAATACTACCCTCTTTGGAGGTTAGGATTTCAATATTTGAACTTTGGGGGGACACAAACATTCAGATGATAGCACCTTGGATATAAGTCAAGGCAAATTAAGCATTAACCAACATTTTATGCACATGCTCTGAAATAAGACATATTATCTAAAGGAAATTAATACAAATTGTAATGAATTTTGCAATATTTCCTACATTAAAGGAAGGTTATTCAGTGGTGAGGCCTATAGATGAAAAATTACCATTTAGAGGATGGAACCAATAAGGAGAGAAAGAATGAGAAGATATGGTTGCATGGGAAGGATAAGCAATATCAAAGATTACACAGGTGTTTCTTTCTTAGATGTGGAAGGTAAGAATCGTGTAAAAGTATGGTGACCACTAAAGAATTCAGATAAGTAGAATAATCAAATTTTAAAGCTGGGAGGATTATTGGAAATCTCTCTAACAGATCTCTGTCAATGTGGCATAGTATTTGATAACAGTGATTTGATAACTGGATAGCCGTGACTTAGAATCATACTTTATTATCAGTTTAGCCTAAAGTGAGTAAGTTATCCTCTCTAAATCTCAGTTTCCTTCTCCGTAAATCAGTGACAACCATAATACATACCTCTTAAGTGTGCATATCTCTTTTTTTGGGGTGGGGGTTGTTGGGTAAGTGAGATAATACATTTGAAATGGTTAGCACAGTATCTGGCACATAGTGTCCCAGTTTAGTGGTAGGGAAACTGAGGCATAAGGAGATGACTAACTTTCTCAATTAGTAACACATTTAGTAAGTGAGACAGCTGGGACTTGAAACCCGGCGTGTGATTACAGGGTCTACAGAAGTAGCAGCATCACACAGAACGGCACCACACATGCGCCAGTCACTTCATAACTAAAATGACTAGTCCAAGAGCACAAAACTCATTAGTGGTCTACAGAGCACAAAGTCACATCAGCCTCTTCCCCAGGTACGTAGCTGCAAACATCACTTGTGCTTGAGAAACATGGAGCTTTTGAAGACAAAGATGTTTTTCTTTTGGAACCAAGTACAGCGTTTTTAAAAAGTACAATAATATACATTTTTACATTCAATCCATCTAGTTTATATGGGATACTCAATCTTATGACAGATTTAAAATGATATTATATGGACAATACGTATTCATCCTGCATTTAAGTAATTACACAAATTGTAGCATTTAAAGTATTCTCCTTATAGGATTTTCTGTTTTACAGACATTAACACTTAAGAAGTATAAAGGTAATAGCAGGGGATGGGGCAAACATCATTATTATAATTTAGAAAGGACAAAGTGAATGTGTTATCAGGACAAAGTAAAATAATAGCACAATTAATAATTTATTTCATCTGTATACTTCATTACAGTTTTGGGAGATTTTAAATTATTTATATATTGGTTTATTTTGTAAATTATTATTGATCATCTCCTATATGTTTGGTCTTAGGCTAATTTCAGTGATTATAATTTTGAACAAAAGACAGGTGGTTGTTCTCATGGGCCTTGCAGAAATTTACCCCATCCTGTGGAGTGTGATCAACTCTTCAAATCTGACCCTGAATCTTTATTCCCTTGGGGCCTTGGGCAAGTTATTTAAGAATAGAAAAAATAATTTACTTAAGTTTCCTCAGCTATAAAATGGGAATTATAATTCTTTCTTAACATAAGTTTATAGTAAGGATTAAATAGGACAATCATTTTAAGAGTACTTGGCACGATGCTTAGCATACACTAAAAACTCAACGCGTATTAGCTATCATTTCAATATAGAGAAAACAAATAACCAGTCACAAAAAATATAAATATATAATTCTAAATAAGTTTAAGCATTTATTGTATTTAATGTGACAATAAAAAATTGTGAAAATGTGTGACCTATTAAATAAGTTCATTCAGTTTCCTGTGGTGCCCCGAATCTCTTATCCAGGACACATTTTGCCCCAAACCTATAATGATAACTGCAATTATGGTTACAGCCCTGATTGCGCCTTCTCTGAGAGAGAAAGTAAACAAAGAGAAAGACTGATCTCCTTCATTCTTTACCTACAAGAATTTATTTATGGTAAAGTCTAGCTTCTTTAAAAGGAATCTGAATTCCTAATAAAGTGCAAGAGACTGTGGGGCAATTCAGGATCATGGTTAGCCAATACACTAAAATTGAGATTTTCCAAAAAGTGTAATAGAAAGCAAACAGGAAAGTAAAATGGATATTTGGGACACCAGGGAGAGACTGACAAATGATTTTAAGTTTGCTTGCTTTTGTCTTTATGAAGAGAAAATGATCAAAGAGAAGGATCAACAGTAGGAAAAGGTAATATAAAGTGGATTCCTCAAAAGTACTTCTCTTAATCCCTAGCTTCTCTAGCTCTCCCACAGCCTTAAGTTTTTTTCTGGAGGCGGGGGTGAGTGCAGCTGGAAGAGGAGGAATGAGGACTGTACCTGGAGGGAAGGCTGCTCTGTAGATGGCTTTAGTTTTGCCTGCTACCACTTCTGCACAGCTGCACACTGCTCCAGTCATTCCCACATCATGCCAACTTTCCCTTCCTCTGTCCACAGAGACGCTGGTTCCTACCAGTACCCATTTCAGAGATACAGGGGGCAACTATCCTCCAAAATCCATTAAAAATAAAGCAAGCTCTTGCCTAAAGTAAGAGCATCACCTCAAAGTCCAAAGACAAATCCTCTCAATAGAATGAGAGGTCTGGGCAAAGATCTCACAAAGATTCTACAAACATGATCCACCCCCCTCCCCACGTGCAAGCTCTGCACTCCTCCACTTCGATTTTGGGAGGCTTGTGGGTGCATGCAGGTGGATGGAGCTGGAGAAGAGAGGTGCATTCATTATTCACTAATTAAAACAGCTTGAGAGATTTCCAGTGATAGTCTTAGCAGGCACACACATCTTACAGACATATGTGTGTGAGTGCGTGTACAGGGACATACAGTCCATGCTATATTTATGTGTCAGGGACAGGCAGTGCATCATCCCAATCTCTTAGACATTTTAAGAGAGACCATGATCAGATTTTATCATAAACCTCAAATCAGATGTTTCCTTTATGCACTTTGGGTACATCTGTGGTGATTTGGGGAGCTTAGCGCAGCTTCTGAAAAAGCTGCCTGCTCTGAGCCCACTGGGCAGGGGCAATTTTCCCACCTGACATTGTGGGTGCTTTTGTTTTGCTTGTTTGTTTATTTTTACCCCATAATACCACACCCTTTTCTTACCTCACCTCTTTCTACCTGGGCTGGACCTGCTGGCGCTCTGCCTCCTGGCCTGCCTCCCGCCTCCCTCCCTGTCTCTAACACCCTGGGGAACCTGTGTCAGGGTTTTGAATCCCTAAATTGCTCTAGCAGTGAAACTACACAGATTAGGAGCTAAGGCACATTTGACTGAAAGGCAGCTCTTTGCTTTCTTCTTATGCTGCTTCCCCTTCCTCTTTTCCCAAATACATATGTAAACACATATATTTTCCTGTTTAAATTTAGCGAATTGGTCCTCTGCCTGTGCCTTGATTTAGCTATTGGGCTGAGCCTTGCTCCTCCCTTCCTTAGTCGGATAGGAGCCACTGGGATCTGGAGCTCGAGCTTCCAAATTGAAGCTGGCCTCAGGCCAGGTGACCTTTTCTTTGTAAGTTTCTTTCCTAAGCGGAGTGGGGGTGGGGGGGTGGGGAGCTGGGATCTGTTTGGTGTTGTCGGGGGGGCAGTGAGGAAAGGAGGGGGGTAGAAGAGAGTAAAGGGCTGTTGTTAAACAGTTTCTTACCGTAAGAGGGAGTTCAGACCTAGATCTTTCCAGTTAATCACACAACAAACTTAGCTCATCGCAATAAACAGCAGCGCAGAGCCGACGGGCTCTTTTAGGCACTGAGCCGGACCAGGATTCTTGCACCCAGGCATCTCCTGCGGCGAGACCCGCCAGCACGTCCAGCAGCACCATGTGGGTGACCAAACTCCTGCCAGTCCTGCTGCTGCAGCATATCCTCCTGCATCTCCTGCTGCTTCCCATCTCCATCCCCTATGCAGGTTAGTTTTCTCTTCTTCTTCATTATTATTATTACGTTAACTCCCTCTTGCTAACCTTGCCTTTTCCTAACACTCTCTTTACTCTATTCCTAGCATCCTTTCTTAACTCAGTATGTGGTATGGGTTTTTTAAACCTCTTATTGTGCTTTCTTTTGATATTCTTTTTCTGTTTGCAAAGCATTTAAAATGATAATTAACATCCCATCAGTGTGTCTGCCCCTCCCCCATCAACCGACCCAACCCCGTCTCACTTAGCCTCATACTTGCGGACTATGGGATAGGAATGAAGTGCTAACACTGGCTGGAACTTTGCTGGTTTGGACAAGTTTAAAGCTGAACAGAGGTCTGGTCTGAAGAGGGGAGTGATGGTCAGTACAGCAGGGACTCATTGTTTTTCTAGAGGATAATTTCCCATGGCAATCTGCTACCCAACAACACTAGGGCAACATTTAGGACCCAATTATGACTTTATACAGGTTTTTATTTGGAGAAGGCAGATTAAACCCCGAGTATATGCATGTTATAAAAATGAAAGAGAAAGCCTCTCTTCTAAGATCTCACTCTTTCTGGGTATGGATCTCTGCCCTTTCAAACTGCAGTGCAAGGGAGGCAGGAATTGTGTGACTTTAATTAAAGCTGTAGAACTGCTAGTTTCAGTCTCCCATGTTCCCCCCTGAATTTATAGGTTGGGAAGGAGTTGCTTGGGAGTTCATATTGCCTGGAAGTTTAGAGATTTCATTTGCTGCTTTGGGAAGTTTTCCACTGTTATCAGGGCAAGAGGAAACATCTGTATTTGGTTGTATTATCATTGTGGTGGCTGGGATGCCAACGGGAGAAGGTAGTGAGTATCATGGGTGAGCACAGGGGTATAAAAGAATGGAACAAATTCCCAGATGGTAGACATGGCCTTTCTATAATATAAAACAGAGAACTGGCTATATCTTTTGAGATAAGTTAAATAAATTCATCAGACCTCTGATCTAGTTTCTGATGTAATACAAGGGTTGAAAACATCAAGAATTCAACCACCTGGCTTTCTTCTGTTTTGTGAAGTAGCCCTTTTGGAAACAGCACTGTGTGGGAAGGGTCAGTTTGAAAACATTTAGGTAAGATTTCTGACGAGGTTAGTTCGATAAAGCAGGTCATCATGCTTGAGGTATGTCATGTTAAAATGGATTCGTATAAGCCATTGCTGGTTTAGGGGATTTTGAGCATAAATTGAAATCATGGCTAATATTTTGAGGGCTTTGCTTTTTAAAGATTAAAATGCTGATGGTCTGAAGTAGAATATGGTTACCTGAAATCGTCTGTGCTAATGCAAGGAGAACACAGTGTGGAAAACCCAAACAGTAGATCAACCACAGACAATGTCTATTTGTTTTTGGCACGCATTACGAAGTTTTGGCAGGAGATATACATTCGTAATTATATTTCACTTTGGCCAATGTTGAAATGACTGCGTTTCCTGAGTATAGGGAGAATACAACCCAAGAGTGTGCTGGCAGGCAAGGAAGGGCCAACTGGGAATTACAGATATGCTGTGAGTAACCCCTGAAGTGAATAATGCTAAAATTGTCATCAAAAGAGGGTCTGCCTTCGTTTGGGTGGCAAGTTTATTTTGATAGTTTTTTTTTTTTTTTAAATAACATTCTCCAAAATAGAAAACATGGATAGCCCTCTTAGAACATACCAGAAAGTTTTTTCTTTTTCATCTAATGTTGAATATTTAGAGTTTTTTTGTTGCTGTTATTTGCTCTGGTTATACTTTTTGATTTATCCTATGAGTCTGTATTTGTACATATTGTAAAATAACACAAGGTTAGAAAAAAAGAGTACGCTATAATGAAGTGACAGCCAGTTATGAGCAGGATGTATTATGGAGATACTTTATTAAAAAGTTTCTTAAGAAATATTCAATAAAGTGGACCCAAGCCATCCTTATAGGAGTTGGTCCACATAGAATTACCCACTATCCACTCCCACCTCCGCTGGAAACAAGAATCCAATCCCCTGTAACAAAAGAAGCATTAAATGAGCACCTAATCACCAGGAGCCTGTGGGGATATAAAGAAGAAAAAATGAGAAAGAAACATACATTTGTTGAGCAACTGTTATGGACCAAGCTCTAAAAATAAAGCTTATTTAATTCTAATAAGATTGGCATTATTGGACTTATCTTGCATGAGAAAACTGAAGTTAAAGACCTTAATTATCTTCTTATCTTAGTTAAGGGATAGAGCTGAGATTCCTACCCAAATCTATGTGAATGAAATAGGTGATTTTCTTCCTTTTATTTATATTGAAGCCACAACAGTGAAATCAGCTGAAACTGCCTTTTAAAAATCCATTTCACAAAGTAATATAAGAAAAGCTGTGTTAGAAATGCTATTGTACTATGGTAGAGTTCATTTCTAGCTTAAAGGATCAAACCAGGTTCAGGGGGTATATGGTATCCAAGTTGAGTATGAAAAGATGGGTAGTAGCATGGTCACTACCTAAGTCAGGGGAACTCAAGTGGCCAAAGGCATAGAGGCGACAAAGTGTAAGAAAAGACAGGTAACCATGTGGGGCTGGGGTACTGAGTACCTGAAGGGGAGCAGTATGACCTGTGATTAGAAAAGTAAGATATGGTAGCATGCGTGAGCTTCAATGTCGTGCTAACCTGCTCTATTCTGAATGTTGTGGGTAGCAGCTGAAAATTTTTGTGTTGACAAGATACCTGCCTGAAGTTGTACTTCAGTGTGGTAGTCTTGGTTGCTGTGTGGAGGGAAAGTTGTAGGCAGAAACAGTCAGTCAAGGAAGAAACCAGGAGGAGGCTCCTATAACAATGAAATCCTGAACAAGGAAGTGGAATGAAAGAGAAAGAGGGAAATACCTAGGGAGGCCCCTAATCTCACGTTGAACATGACTTCATTTTGTAAATCTCTTTGGAAGAGGTTATTATGCTGCTTCTCAAATACCAATATTTGATTTAAATCTGACATGATCCCTTTCTTCTTGACATCTTTATTTGTGATATTGCTACCTTCTCTAAAGAAGGGGAGATGACTGTGAAAACCCAGTCCTAGATAACAGCAATGAAAATTTGGACTAGTATTTATGATTCTTGCCTTTGGGAATTTTAAAATCTCCAGTCACAACGATTCCTTTCCATTAATTATTTGTGTACTGTCATCTTAACATCTTGCCACTTCAAGCTGTTAATCACTAATCATGTGGGTAGGTTTCTCAGAATATGTGGAGCCAGATTCCTGCTTCTTTCCACACCCTGCAAATCCTTTCCTTGCATGATTTTCCTTTGAAGTCAATGGTTAGTCCACACTGAGAAGAAAATATATGAGGTACTGAGAGAAATGAGTGTGAGGCCCAGGGACCAGCGGGAGAAATGTGTCTTTCTTCAAGCACCTTGATACATTTGACCCTACTTTCTGTTTGTAGGTTTTCACTAAGATCCTAATGATTTCAGTTCTAAAACAGGGACTTCAGGTTCTTCAGGAAATATAGCTTCCAGAATGTTTTCCCATACTGGGAGAAGAGGAAAAAGGACTTGCAATTTAAAGTACAGGAAAGCATGACAAAGTTGCAGTGATCTCTCACCCTTTGATTTCATTTCAATATTTTGTTTATAAACTTCCACTAACAGTCATGCACAAAAAATAGTAGGGAAAAATCTGATCCAAGGATATTTTTGAGTTTCTTCCCAAATTAAGCTTGTCTTTTAATTGTTTTCAGTAAAACAAGCATCAGTTGTTAATACATATGGAAGTGAAAGTTGAAACTATTTTCAGCAAAGGAATTTTATTTTCAGATGCTGTTTTTGAATGACTTCTGTTTTGAATTTTTCTTTTATTGAAGAAGGAATTAATTTTATAGATGTGTGGATTACATGATATACAACTAGCTTGAACTTCACATTTTTGAGTAATTAGTTACTGACCTAGTAGAAATGATTGAATTATAAGGGAAAGCTTCTAAGTCATGAGAAATAAATAGTGAAAAGGGAATCCTGGTATCTGGTTCTGATTGCCTCTGATTACTTTTGTGGCCCCAGACAAGATTTTCACTCCTATTTATTATCTAGTAATGGGAAATCATAGATTTATTTGCTTTTCAGAATGCTTTTTGATCTTTAGATGAAAGGTAGTGATGGAAAAATTTATCAACAAGCAAGAGTAGACTATTTTTATGGGGTATGGCCACACATTAACACATTTCAACAGGACAACTGAGAACTGTAGAATTAAACACAACTAAGAATCCCACAGAGACCCCTTTTCTCTATAGTAGTCCTCAATGCTTGCCTTCATATTGCACACATTAAGAAAAGAAACCAGAGTAGCACTTGCCAGGGGTTCTGTTTCATTTGATAATTGGTAAAATACATATCTGAATTTAATGTTTGTCTTAGACCATTTAAATTTAGTTCTATGCTTTTCTCTCACACTTAGACATGTAGAATAACTACTTTATACATCAGTCCAATTTTAATTCTATATTTTTAGTTAACTAAATTTATTTGAAAAATATATATACAGTTCTTCCATTTTGGTGGACAGTTTTTAAAATAGGTTTTCTATATCCATTAGCTACTATTTGTTTCTAAGAAACATTCTAATTTATACAGGAAATCAGATTATTATGCTGTGAGACATTTCACAACACCTAAGAAATAGTGCATTAAGGTCAAAGGAAGGAGAAATTCTTAATGGGGAATCTTATCTTCCATTAACACAGTCCTGTGGCAGAAACCAAAATTTGAAAAGAATTATACTACTTTGCTTTGGAGAGTAACAGTTTCTTCTCTTATGCCAGAAATTAAAGGATGAAATTTCAAAAACAAAACTAAAACTTTGCATATTCGTAATACTTTTTATCTAAATTGATTTCCAAATATTACTTAATGCCTATAGTTTAAATAGCTCTTTTTAGTTCATATAACCCAAAACTTTCATTTCATAGATTGAATAATTGGAATACTAGCATTTCAGGTAATTAAACAGAGTCATTTGGCAAGTCAATAAGAATGCCAGAATTATCATCTGTCTGCCGTTATGCAAGGCATTTGGTCTACACTCAATAAATAACACGTTGATAGATTGTTTGGTTGATGGAATTTCTGTGTCAAAATGTCTTTTAAATTATATCTGTTGTACCATAGCCATTCCATCTTGTAGGGCAAAGAAAAGTTAAAAATGAAAACATTATTAGAGGGATTAGTACCTGTCTTTTGGGGATTGTGTTCTGGAGTTTTAAGTGTGTTCTGGAGAGCCAGAAATTGAGAAGATTTCATGTTTTCTCTTATTTATTGTGGACTTCAGGTTAGGATAGATATCAATGAGTAGCATCTGCATGTTTAACAAACCAACTGGAGCCAGTGGTTCCTGGAGCATCATGCCATTCTTGGTAACTCACTCGGCTAGCCAAATTTCCAAATTTTCTGCACAAAAATTTTTACTCTCTTTTCTTGATCCATTTCACCACATACAAAGACCAGGAATGCATTTCCTGTTCTACCATCCAAGTTTCTTTTCTACTGATAGCTCTAAACCAAATCTTCATAGAATATTTGCAAGCCATATTTCCACATACTTAGCAATTCTTAAAGAAAGATGGCATCCTAAGGGTTCAAGATTGGGGGATTCTGAAGCTAGGCAGCTGGGTTTTGAATCAGATCTTCTAAGTGGTCAATTAATTTTTCCATATGTCTTGGTTTCTTCATCTTAAAAATGAATATATTGTTACTGCCTTGGTTATAAGGGTTTTTAAAAGAACTGATAGGCAGGGAAGGGGCACAATCATGTCCATCCTTACTATACAACAGCTGCGATCTCTTAGACATTTTGATGCTCATTATGAAGATGGTGATCCTCATGAGAAACTGGGTAACTTTGGGCAAGTTGAGAAGAAAGAAGCAAGTACTTGATACTCTAAAGTCACCCATAAGATTAAGTCTTTTAGGATGTTTTAATTTTGTTTTTCAGGTTTTTAATGGGAGGCTTCATGCTATTTAGGGGCCTTGTAGAATACTTTCATGAAGAAAAATGATATTGCTACATTAAAAGATGAAGTTTTACATACATTTGATTTAAAGCATTTGGCTTGATTTCAAGACAAACAGTTCAGTGATACTAAGAATTAGTGCCCAAAAGCACAGAAAACACTTATATAGGAAATGAGAAGGGCTGAAATATTAATAGTATGAAGTGCTTTAAAGAGCAAGTTGGAAGAATTTATCTACTGCACCATTTTTAGTGAGAAGTTTCTCACCTGTCATTGCATTGCCTTATCTAATTAATACTATAGCTTACATAAGGACTAATTATAGAAGGAAATGAAAAATTTAATTATAGAGCATGTTAAGATATGCCCTGGCACTTGCCTTCATACTGTTTAGAGACTATCTTATTATTTATTGCTTTAGAGTGAACTCTGTCCTAATTTTTAAAAGCATCCTTCATTTGAAAGAATGTAGATGAATGACTCTGCATGACAAGTTATTTATTCTTCACTGATTATAATATTCCTCTCTTGCTCTCAACTATCTGAAAGTGTCATTCCCCACTCACTTCACCTCTGACCCCTGGGGGTCTAGTATGTTGTCAGATAAAATCATTATCTTACAGATGATCCTTAAAGACATTTTTTCTACATGAGCCTTATAAGTTTTTCCCCTATGCTTTTTTTAAATTATTATTATTAATAGAAGGACAGAAGAAAAGAAGAAACACACTTCATGAATTCAAAAAGTCAGCAAAGACTACTCTAATTAAAGAAGACCCATTACTGAAGATAAAAACAAAAAAAATGAACAGTGCAGACCAATGTGCCAATAGATGTATTAGGAATAAAGGACTTCCATTCACTTGCAAGTAAGTTCCTTCATTTTGTTCTTAGGATAATTTTTCAAAATATAACATGTACTCATTATTATCATTTTTTAATTTTTATTCAATGTAATCTGCCCTTAAAATTATAAGCTTGACTTTAGTTTTTACTCATTACAATAGAAGACTTAGTTCTTAGTTGATGGAAATATGAGTGAGGGAGAGCACATAATCTGATACCTTTTAGAATCCACAGTGGCTTTGGGTATGGAATTTATGTTTTTTCATCTTATGAACAATTGAACTTTAGGAAGTAAAATTCACTTAGATTGACTTTTATCTCTCTAACACTTTAAAATATTCTATTCAGAGTAAACTTTTTTTTCTTGCAAAAGGAGTACAGAAATTTTCAGAAAATAAGTTGGGCAACAGCCAAAATTTACTGCAAAGTTTATATCACTGTCTTTATGGATTTAAATAAAAAGTGTTGAGAGAATTAGATAAAAAACTAGAGGGATTGATGTCTGCAGCAGAGGCTGTTTAAAAGAAGTTGGGGGTAGAGATGATGAAGTTTTAGGTGAAAAGTGATGGGGCAATTCAAAGACGCATGAAGGACTCAAATAGAGAGCTTTCTTATCTTTTGCAAGTCCCTGTGTGACCTCACAGGGAAGAATTCTTCACTACTTTGCCAGTGATTCCACAGATAAGACTTGGATTTTGGGCCATGAAGGTGACAGTTTTATCTGAGTAGTCTTCCAAACTGCCAGAAGAAAACGCATTTCCTAGTTCTTCTTCATAACCGTTCCCTTGCCTCACTTACTTTTCACGCTTTTATTCCCTGTTTCATCCCATTTTTTACAGGATTGCTCATAACATCCTGTCAGTTTTAAATTCTCCTCTGTTACATTTGGGTAGTGACACATAATGTGAACACAAGGTTTAGAAATGTCATGACAAGCAGTCCTAATTTCATCTTGCCTTTCTCGGAGAAATGAGTGTTATGAGCCTGAGGGGAAAGGACATGGTCAGAGGAGGTCTTCAGCAGATTTAGGGGGAGAAGAGGCTATCTCCTTTCTGTTCATTGAGAGCTCTTCTGGAAGTATTTTTTTAGAGCCAAACTGCCACTTTCAGGGAGATATTTCCTTGCAAGGGCAGTGGGGAATTGGCTTTATAAATATTTTCCTGTGATAATTCTGCTTCATTCCCTGACTTTCCTATGAAAACCTTGAAATTGTTAAAAATAAATTAGAGAAAACTAATTTCTATATGAGCCTTAAAAGTTTTAAGCCTTAAAAGATGTCTCAATCAACATCTCAGCTGTGTAGATTTGTGGAGATGTTCTTCTGGCAATTGAGGAAGTGGGATTTATCATATTTTCCCCTCTGAGGGTTGGAAGGGTGGTGCAAAGGGAATGGGAGAACCACACCTCCTTGTGGATTTTTTAACTTTGAATTTGAAAATACAATCTCGTGGATACACAGTAAGGAAAATTTTGCTAGCTCTCCATTTTCACATGTGTCAGCCTTATGCCCAAAATAAAGAAATAAATAAAGCTTTCCCTTTGTTTTATTTAGGAGACAGTAAAATGATTTTGCTGCATTGGAAAACACATGTGACCTGATTAATAAATCTTTACGTATCCCATGTATAAGAGGTTTCATTCTTTCCTACCACATTCTGGTTGACTAAATTTATGGCAACCTGTGCATAAAATCACATGTAATAATACCTGTGTACAGCCAAATTTCTTCTAACTAGAAATGGTGTCATCCTTCTCACTCGTCTATCCCAAATAAATAAAGACATGTGTTTGGCATCACTAAATACATTAGTTATTCAGAATGGAATGGACATACTGTGATTCTCTAAAATTAAGTTCTTAATGAATCAAAGGATCTTTCTGCAGACTTCTTATATGCACCAGATTCATTGAAAAACAATGGCAAATATATGAAAATGCTTAAAAAATACCAACAAAGCTGTGTGAAAGCATCTGTGATTCATGTGGGCATGGGGTGGGACATTCTCAACACTGTTTCCTCTTAAGCAAATATCAATGATATTGATTTTATAGGGATTGAAGTTCCTCTGTGCTAGGTAGGAAAGACGACCAGAATGCCTGATCCTAAGCTCTTCAGAAAATTGCTAATTCATGACTTTGACTCAGGAGAAAAAACTAGGAGGCTTTCCTCTTCTAGCTATGACTAAGTAACTGGTGCTGGAGTTGCCATAAACAACTGGAAAACTAGACAAAATAAATTCTTGAAAGGAAGATGTTAATTAAAATAAGGCTAAGATAAAGAGTCTTAAAGTCAAACTTAAAAGAAGATGCAACTCAGAATTTCATGGCTTGGATCCACTTCATATGGAGGTGTAAAATGATATAAGGAAGACACTTTTCTGAGAGAATATGGCATTGTAATGGAATGAGAGAAAAGAGTAAATGAAATCAGCAAACTGGAAACCCTGTCCCTCACTTTCCAGGTAGAATCACCTTTGTATTCACAGAGGCAAATTTTGCATGTTCCTGATGGGACTCATGAGTTAGCAGCAAGGCGATTTCATGTCATAGCCACATTATCTGTAGAAAAGTAGTTTATATATGTGTGGTACATTTTTATTTTAATGTTATGTTAAGTGTCAGCTTATTGATTCTGTAACTTTAAAATTTCTTTTTGGATGTTTGTTTAGTTTTTATCTTTATATGTATTCTTTATCTAATCACTATGCTTTTAAGGTCATTTAACACCCTCTTCCCAACACCCTACAATAGGGAGATAGGGAATTTAACACGTATTGCATAAGCTTACAGTCTAACAGATCAAAATTCAAGTCTCTTACCAAGTTATTCTGCTAAAGCTATAAAATATACTTTTATGATTTGCTCTTAGTTACTATTTCAGCTGTAGAATGTTCTTGTAAGTGGATATTGTAATATATCTATATGTAAATCAAAGCACAAAGTATACGAATATAATTTTTTAAAGTTATTTGGGTATAGAATAAGGACTAAAAAAAATAAGATAGGTAAAATATTTTAAATAATTTGATAACATCTATTTTATATTTGTTTTATAAAAGTTATTTCCCCTTATTTAAAATTATTTAAAAAGTGTCAAACTACTAAGAAGTAAATGACTAATTTGAAATATCTAAAATTACAAGAAAATAATGTGTTCTCAAAAATACATTATATGGACTAGAAGTGAAAAATCATTACTCTTAACAAATCTGTGTATTTCTTTTAATTAGGTACTTGTACATGGTGGCATTGTAATTAGCATGAACATAGTGAGAAGGAGTTTTAATAGCATTTCTTTTTTTTTTTTTTGGCTGAGGAAGATTCACCCTAAGCTAACATCTGTTGCCAATCTTCCTCTTTTTGCTTGAGGAAGATTTGCCCTGAGCTAACGTCTGTGCCAGTCTTCCTCTATTTTGTACGTGGGTTGCAGCCACAGCATGGCCGTGGGCAAGTGGTATAGGTCTGTGCCTGGGAACTGAACCTGGGTCGCCGAAGTGGAGCGCGCAGAACTTAACCACTAGGCCATGGGGCCAGCCCCTAGTAGCTTTTCTAAATGGAAGGAAAACAGTTCAAATTCTAACTTCATTTCCCATATTGTAAGAAATGGTAACATTTAATATGTTGAAAATTCTATCAAGTACTTTACTATTCTCGGTTAAGGAATTTTTGTATTTATCATTTTGCTTTAGAGAGACTTTTTTTAGTGAACGAAAAAAATCAATATAATAGAGGAATGATAATTGTAGGAGTGACACATTTTAGTAATTTTCTTCAAGATAATATACTAAAAGCATATTCTCTATGCTATTAATAGTTTTTTTAAATTAAAAATGCTTATGCAAGCAAATCGATTTAGGAAACATTGACTGATATAAACAGTTATCTTAATAGCAAGGTTTTCATAGCCTTCAATAAGCTTCAATGCTTCATAACTCACTGAGAAGGGATATTATATGCAAAATTTTCGAAACATTTAATTTCAGATCCCTCCTTGCTAGCAGAATTTTCTGGGGTGGTGATTTGTCTAATGCATTTTAGGAAATATCACTTTAGAAGGTACTTTATACAATTACAGACTTTGGAAATTAATCATGATATTTCAAATATAATAATTTGTATATAACTACAAACAAAATCTTCCAACTTGCAGTGTACTTACAAAAAAATAAAGTCTTCTGAAATAATCTAAGTAGTTGTGCTATATATTGAATTTGTTTGTTGAAGCCCTCATTTTTTGAGACATCATTTAGAATAACATGAGAACATTCCAAATAGTATTTAATCTGATATTTAAATCTATACCTACAAAAACTTAATTTTGTTCTTTCTTATTTGGCCATCAAAATGGTGGGCTCAAATATCATTCGTGCTTTTATTATGTGTATGTAACAATGTGTCTGTTTTTATATTGCCCTCCTTGGTTAAACCATGTGCCTATTCTTTAAAAACTGTATAAATAGTAGTATTCCTTCTTTTCATTCAGATATTTTTTTCAGGGCCTTTGTTTTTGATAAAGCAAGAAAACGATGCCTCTGGTTCCCTTTCAATAGTATGTCAAGTGGAGTGAAAAAAGAGTTTGGCCATGAATTCGACCTCTATGAAAACAAAGGTAACTGGCTTCTCCCTAAATACTTCATAATGAAATAAAGCATAAAATATGTGTAATTTCCTGCCACAGTGCTCTTTCCTACTGATTTTTCAATTGTATACAGGATCTATTATGCAGTTGATACATCCATTAAGACAGATGACACTAGTGCCTTGACTGTTTTCAGTATGGTTCTTTAGATTAAAGACAGTATTTCCCAAACTTCTGATATTTAGATTACCCCCTCCCTCTTTGTTTATTTCTAAGAACATATCCTAGAACTGGTATTTTCCATGTTCATTTTGGAAGTGCCACCTTATTAGTTTAAGACACTTTACATTACAGCATATTTTGAGCTTACTATACTATTTTAAATGTTAACATCTTTGGATAACTCAACAAGGTTGTAGTGATTATTGCTGATAACAAAATGTAGAGATTTTGAAAAGTCAGTTGGATCTATTACTAATTATATACTTAAAAAAATCTTTAAAAGAAGAATTGAGACCATATTATTTGTTAATTTGTCTATTTCGGTAGTCTGATAGTATATTCACAAGGTATTTACTTTGTTCAAAAGCAGAATTATATCAATGAAATAATTGAAGAATGTTAAATAATTATGAATTTTACAAAATGAATCCCTCATCACACAAAATAGTAAACATGGATTGTATTTATGATAACTGTATTTATTTTAATTTTAATGTTTTCTTTAATCATACTGTGTCTTATTAAATTTGGGTATTTCATAATATACACAGATATTTCCTTGTTAATAGGGTAGATGTGTAAAATAAATTAAAATTAATTTATGGTAGAAAATAAGATGATTTCTATATACCCCAATAATTCTATAAATCCTAAAAATAATTCAAAATCTAGTATAAGACCATCTTCAATCTTCTAGGTTGCTAATAACTGTATATACTATTATTTGATAGGAATATACAGCTTGTTTCAATTTGATTGCCCTATTATTTAGCAGCTGAAATGTTAGCAAAAATATGGAAAATAATAATCAACATAATGTAATTATCACACACACACGTGCATATACAAAACCCACGCTGTTTTACTGAGATAAAGACAAATTAATTATTTTTATTTATTTTAAAGTAACTTTCTGAATTCAATATAGGTTTTATAAATCACTTAATTTTTGTTTTTAATATTTTCTTAACATTGTCTATATATCTGAGCAAATCATTCTGCCAAATTAAATTTGCCTGGTCGGATGAGTATATAGGCTAATCTATGTGAAATACATAGACTAATCTCCGCAGTTAGCCAGGTATAAATTCACAAAATTAAAACTTCTCAATAGTCTTTTGTTGTTTTGTATTATTCAGAAATGTATTATTTTGAAAATATTAGTAGAAACTTTAGACAATAAATTTCAGTATGATTTGAGATAGTTTATAAGTGCTAGTTACTTAAAAGATTTGAATGGAATTTTCTTCTTCTTGTTAATATATATACAGCATATGTTACATATAGTTATAACATTTTTCTTTGCTTTCTTCTGATAGACTACATTAGAAACTGCATCATTGGTAAAGGAGGTAGCTACAAAGGAACAGTATCTATCACTAAGAGTGGCATCAAATGCCAGCCCTGGAATTCCATGATACCACACGAACACAGGTAAGAACAGCATGAGGAAAAGAGGATAGAGCCTCTCTTTGTTATATGTATTTTAGCAATCTCATGTTAGTTCTTCAGAATAATCCTACTGTTCTATAATAACATAGCCAACTTGACTGAATTGTATTAGGTCAAGGCTTTTGTGAATTCATGACTGATATTTAGCCAAAGATTAGTAAATTTATCATTTTATCTTACCTCAAAACCTCAATTTTACAGATCTTGACGTTTGTGAAGAAATAATGAAAACGTAATTTTTAAAAAGAGATTTTGTTCCCTCTCTTTGCCTTCAACAAGGTATGGCACTCTGCAGCTCAGTGGAGAGGTTGACTGTGATAAATAGGAGATGGATGAGAGATGGTGGTTCTCAACTTTGGCCGCACATTAAAATCACCTGCTATGAGCCCTTAATGAATCTCACCACTCAGGCGTCAACACAGACCAATTAAATCAGAATCTCTTGGGGGAATAACCCAGGCACCAGTAATTTTTTTAAAGCTCCCCAGATGACTCCAAAGTACAGCCACAATTGAGAACCACTGCTAAAAACTCATGCCTCGGATTGACCAGCTTTCCCACCTATTGCCTAATGACTGGAGAAAACTTATCATTCCTTGGAAATTAAATATCCACACTTAAGAGAAGAATTGTGTTCATTATAACAGATGAATGATGTTTAAAGACGAGCATGGGTAATATCTATAGGCTCATTAGTCTGAGAGTTTTAATCATCATGGAAGAGAAACATAGATATCTAACACCCATTAGATAACTAAGTGTAGCCATGGTTTTCAAGATTTATTTCACAAATAATTTTAACAGGAATTAAATTAGCTTAAAACAGCTTTCTCTTGTTATTAAATAGACTGTAAGATTTAGTTTACCATGTGCCAAGTACCTTGCTCAATAGTATATCTGGTTGATCTCATTTAATCCTCCCAAGAATGCCAGAGTGGATGATTTTATTAGTTATACTTTATATATGGTGAAACTGAAGCACAAAGAGCCTTAGTAACTTTTCAAGGTCATGCACGACTAGTAAGTGGTATGGCCAGAGTCTGAGTCCAGCCGGTGTCACTGTATAACCTGTGCCTTTAACAGCCCCAGAGCATGAAACACTTGGCTGATCAGTAGGACACATGCTGCAACTTGTTTCTGGAACAGTGGTGATGACTTTGCCTTGATGAATCCTCTTTTTATTTCATTTCATTCATTTTTGGGGGGGCAGAATTATGCTAAGATTTTACTTCAGTAAACAGAGACAAGGTAATTGGCCCACATATTAAAAAAAAAGTGTTATTTGTTCCACATTGAGGTCAAACCTGTGATGTCAGCCTAATTAACACCACCTAGTAAGTGTCCAAGCCGATCAGCTTTGCAGTGTTTCAATAACAGAAAGCAACTAATTATTTTCAAATTAGTTGCTTACTATTATACACAAATACCTCTGAAACATATTATGCTTATATTACAAAAAGAAACAAACAATATAATTGGTTTTGTCCTATCATAGGATTTGCATTGTGTCACTCCTGCATAGTGAGGAAAACATTTTATTTAAATGGATAGATCTAAGTTTTTCCTGAACAAAGGAGTAGCATAGGAAATCAGTCCTACCCTAGTCAGGGAGAGTGCACTGGGCTGACCCAGTAGAGGTCTTATTTCAACCCAAATTCTCTGTGATTGTGATTCTCTGCTAGAGGAGTAAGTGTGAAATAGATCTCCCTGGGAACTGGCTTCCCAGTCCAATCAGCTATGTTACCAACAAACATTTCCTTGTGATATAGATGTTTATGGCTGAGAGGATCGTGTACATTAATCAAATCTTTTTTTTTTTTGGTATTCATTGGGAGCAACATTTAATTTTCATCAATTAGCAGCTTATTGGTATATCTGCATGATAGCTTAACACTTTTAAGTTAAGTAAACATTAACTTTATGGGAAATGGAAAAAGAAATATGTCTTTGTCTAGAGGAGTGATTTATTGTTGACTCCCTAAATTGAAATATTTTACAAGTGGCTTAATGGGAAGATGATGATAGATGATGAAATTAGTATAGAAGATTAACCAGAAAATCAGGTGACCTGATATCTACATCTATATCCTTCATTGGCCACCTAGCATTCATTAATGAAGCAGGTGATGGAATAGATCCAGTTTCCTATGAACACAGTTCATATTAATGAAAAGAAAAGGTCGCTAGCACCCAGAAGATCTCATTAATATTTCAAAGTATATTTGGATATAACTCAATTTTAAATATTTCTTTACTTATCTCTTGCTACCAAGGACAAAGAACCAAAAATATTATGTATGTGAATAAAAGTTTATTATAGAGCCTATTGAGTGGCACAGGGCTTTTGTGTAATAGGTTCTCATAAACATTTGTTAAATGAACACACATAAGCGAAAAGAGCAGGGCTAGGTTTTATCCATTGGTCAAGTATGGTATGCTAAAGAAAAGCAGGCTAAATACCTCAGAACATAAAAGAAAACCAGTTAACTTGGGTAACAAGTCGTATACACCAAAGAATGAAGAGAAAAGATGACCCAGACTGCTCTTTACCCCACATGACCTAAAGAAGAATTTGATATGCATTGATACAGAATTGTGAAAAGAAGTGCATCCTTTCTCTTCATATTTCATTTTATTAACTCCAGTGGGAAAACTTTGTTCATCTTTTGGCCATATCTAGTTTTGATTTCTACTTTATCTGTCTTCCTTCCTACTGTATTGTATTTTTCCTACTAAACTGTTGGATTGATTTACTACTTTTACACAGCTTCATTTTGGCTTTACAAACCCACTGGGCAGCTGTATGTGTGTATATGTGTATGTTTCTATGTGTGTCTGTGTGTAACAAAAATCTTCTCTAAAACTGTAGATACTTAATACGTGTATATTTAATGTGCTAAATCCGTTGTATAGTTTCTTAAGTAAACTTAATACATAAAATGATACAGAATAAAGGATCTTATAATAATCTAATTCACTCCATCCATCTTATAGGTGAAGAAGTTGAAACCCAAAGAGTAAATAAATTGTCTAAGGGCTAATGTTGGGCATATACTAGTATGGGCCAACAGTGTAGATTTTGTGATTAACAATTACTTATTCTTACCACTCAGCGTTCTTACCACTATACCAAGGTTTTTCATAAAAGAGAATTATAGTAGAGTATTCTTAAGTAAATTTGATTAATGTATTACTTTATGAAAAAATATAAAGTTAAAGTCAGTTTTGGAAAATGACTATTTCATTATAAATTTCAATATATCAGTATTTCATTATAAATTTGCTATGAAACGTTGGAGAAGTGGCAAAAATGAAAGAAAATAAATGTCAAACAGGGCACAAACAAAAAGTATCCTAAAATATTCTGGAATAATGGGGCTAAAATTAAGACAAAAAATGACATTTTTCATTTGAAAATTAAATCCTGTTAGGAACTGTGAAATCATGATGAGTTTTAATTTTGTTATAGTTTTTGTCAATTGTATGGCCTAATGTCTTATATTTGTTTCCCCATATTTAAAATGCTAGTTTGTAATATTTAATAGTTTCCTTGAAAATGTTTGGTTCACAGTAAGTATCTTAGAATAGACTATTTCTTTTCAGCCAATAATTTATATTTTCTGAAGGCGTAACTCTGATGTATATTCATGTCCAAATGAAAGAATTTCATTGCAAAATGTTGTTTGGTATCCGATGCATGTCCATATTCATTTTGTGTCACAACATAAAGAAAAATAATGATTTCTTAATTAGAAATTTCAATGGGTAGGGTAGACATTTGAATGGTGTTTAATGAGAAACTAAAATCCTTGGACTTCACTCTAATTTAAGTACCATTTAGAATTCAGAGATCAGTAAAAGTAGAAATAAAACTTAATAGCAAAAATTGAACTGAATATTGAAAATGTAACTGGATTTTCAAAAAGTGTTTACTAATGTTACCTACAGATGTATATTCTTTATTTATGGTTTTTTGTGTGCAATCTAGCAGACAAATGCAGCGTCATTGAGGCCGATGCCACAGCAGTGCAAACGAATAAAAAGGCTTTGGATTTTTCTGATACTGTGTTGAAATACTTTATGCTGGTAACAAAACTATAAATAACAGGGCATTAGAAATTCTAAGTAAAGGTAATGTATTTCAGTCTCTGCACCCAATGGCCTACTGCTATGAAGCTATGAACTGAAAGCACCAAGCCCCAGACACAGAGAAAATTATTAAAATTTTTGAAGAGAATAAGCAATTCTATTTTTCATTATGACAGAATAAAGGCTACTAAGCCACGTGTGCTTAGTAGCATTTGTTAAGTGTTAGTTGCTCTGTCATCTTTTTGAACGTCTCAAAACAGCCGTATAAGGTATAAGATGTTATAAGTTATGGTTATGCTCAGTGTAACGGTAAGCTAACAGGCTGAGAGAGGCTAAATTACCTGCTGGGGTCTCCAGCTGGTAAGAGAAAGAGCTGAAATTTGAGTTCAGGTTTAATTTGATTCTAGACTCTTTGTGTTACTTCATTAATCTATTTCTCAATCGTGCAGGAAAAGAGGGGGCTATTCTTCATAAGAAAAGCAATAAACAAACAAGTAATTATCTCGGATAAGCAATGTAATACGGAGATTTCGTGGTCGATTGCAGTGTTTGTTTGTTTCTTCAGTTCTCTCCTAAGTGGCCTTGCTCAATCCCTTGCTCCCTTTGAGTGGAGCTTTGAAACTGTGGTTCGAACGACGTCAATTAAGTTCTAGCGTGATTGGCTCTTAGCAAATCCAGAGACAAATCATTCTTGATGTTGAATTCAGTTAGGTGAATGTTTATAAAATTTAAGTATTTTAAGAATGGATGGACGTTCTTGAATTCTTGAATGACAGAATTGAAGTTAAAATATATGGAGGTGTGAGATAGAATAGAGGATTTCTCTACTTTCAGGAAAAACGTATCCACTAATTAGTAAAATTAATAGATCGAAAATCAAGATGCATGCTCTTATACTGTAATGATTATCATTTTAAAACTAGCTTTTTGCCTTCGAGCTATCGGGGTAAAGACCTACAGGAAAACTACTGTCGAAACCCTCGAGGGGAAGAAGGGGGACCTTGGTGTTTCACAAGCAATCCAGAGGTACGCTACGAAGTCTGTGACATTCCTCAGTGTTCAGAAGGTAAATGAACCTGAATGCCGTGTGGGGCACTCTGCTCGCTCTTTGTGTAGAACTGCAGCTCGCATTAAAAGTTAACAGAAACAAATCAAATCACAATAAATATGTTGTTTCTTCAAATGCAACTATAGATGATTATGTGAGTATTTTTACATGATGTTTTTAAAAATGATTATCATCAGATAAATGCAAAATAATGGAGTGAGTTAGTTGGAATTTCAACAGAGCCTGAGGTATCTCTCAAGGGAGAGTAAAAGTTTGGGCTTCCTCATCTGCTGTTTTGAGCTCACATACCTCAAAATCTGCCCTCATATGTCACCTGAAAGGAGCCGAATGAAACTGAGCCCTTTATGAGTAATGCTAATTATATTCGCCTAGCATCTGCTTCTGCAGAAATTTTGTCAAACCTACTCTGAAGTGGTGTGACAAGGGTATGTGGACCCAGAAGAGAATATTGGAGGGTGTGTGGAAGTTCGATACCTCTGTGTGTGACTAGAACAAATTTGATACATAGACCAGAACAGAATACCATTCAGAATAGTATCTGAAAAGATCAAAACAGTAGATGCCAAGCTGTCTTGAAGGCAGGCACCCTAAATCCGTGTCTGTGTTTTCACCTCCTCTCCCAGCATAAGGGGCACTGCCCTTACTTTTGCAGTGGAAAACTGAATGACTGACAAGAAGGAAGAGTAACCATGTCAGCGTTGTATGTGGTTTCATTTTTCATAGTTATCTGGCCACTGAATAGCTGGCTTTTTAGTTCTGTCGGAAACTAAAATTCTAAAAATCCGAATGAAATATGGATTAAATTCTGATAGAAATTTAGTAGGATTTTGAAGTACTTGGGGGCAGGGGCTGCTGGAATGCTGTCCAATTTTTATAGTAAGATATCTTACCTGTTTGTTATTAACCAAATATTTTTTTGAAATATTTCTTCCATAAATATCCATTAAATATTAGGTTGATATTTATCATATAAAAAAAGGCCATTGTTGGCTAATTGTCACAGAGAAGGTGAATTTGTGTTCTGTTGTTAGTTAATTTAAAATTCTTGGCTCCATGTGCTAAAGCTGGTTCCATCTCTGTTTGTAAATTCTTACTTTCCATTCTATATCATATTCTGTTCACTATAACTTCTTCATTGTTTTCTTTTCTTTTAAAAATAATAAACTGATCTGTGATAACATTATGAACAAGTCTGTTTTGTATGAATAAGTCTGTAATTAATATTTGTCTTAAATTTACACGTGGAAGAAAAATTCCTACTTTTTGGGAACTCTCCACTATGACAGTTTTCTGAGGTTGAAAGTCATTGGCAAGGAGTTTTGTTTATTGGTTTTGTTTGACCTGGGAAGGTGTTTTCAAGGGAAGGTAACTTGGTCAAACTTTAGACAGCTTAACATTTATGGTACCTGCCTACTCCGTGTGGGAATGTGATTTTTCAACCCCTGCTTTATAAGAAGAATACAAATCAAAATACGTTGGCATAGATCTAGACCAATATGCAATGTAAATTAAATGTTCTAGAAAAGAAGTAGTTGGAAAAATCCTATTTCCACATATCCTTACCTCATTAGAATATATGTCTCTAATATCCTTTAATAATCTGAGGTCATTGCACCTCCCTTAGAAAAGGGCATTGCTCATTAGTATTAATGGCACATGATGCTATTGGCACTGTGGCAGTAAAGGTTGCAGATATGCTTTTTCTGGGAACAATTAGAGGTCTGACAGTATAGAATGACCCTCCTGTGAACGAAGTGAACCAACACGTGCCCTATGGGCTAAACATATTTCAGAGAGTGTGAATTGAGCTGTGATATTTGAATTCATGCTAAAATGTTTTAGTGGGGTTTTAATGAAGAAGACCTAAAATAAGAAGCGTTGTCAATACATTAATAGAAAAAAAAAAAACACTATTTATAAAATGAATAATACAAAATATACAAAATAATGTAGATATGATGTAAATTTATATTAAAATACATATAAGAGGGAGAAACCTCAAAATCCAGAATGCTTAAATGGTATAATGAGTGAGCCATTTTTATCCAAAGATATTAATTTATTAAATAGCAACTTCCAAAGTTTACATCATTATGGATGAAGTAGTAATGATCAAATTATTTTGTATATTTAAAATTAAACCAGAAAAATACCTGTGGTCAAACTTTGGACTGTTTTTTTGAAAAAGACATGTAGAACAGTATATATTTTTTGAAATTTTTGTAACTATATTAAAATCTTGGCTAAATAAACATCTGAAATTTTGGTTCATAAAAGAAATATATCTCATATCCCATGATTAATATTTTCTTATAATTTAAAACTTTGAAATATATTAAACATTCCAAAAGAAAATCGCATCACATTTAGAATATCACATTTAGAACCTTACAAAATTATGTAAAGAAACTATTACCATTAACGTTTAGTTCAGGGAAAACTGAGGTATGTTAAATTCAATTTCTGGCTTTAACATTTACTTGGGATTTAAAATAAAGCGATCGCTAGTTGTTGGAACAGATGTCTTATTTAATGATTGTCGAATATTCAAGTAAACACATTTTATTAAGACATAATCATTATTTTTTAATACTTTACACTTAAAGTCCAAAATAATACTGCTGTGACTTTATATATGTAATTCTATATTCTGTGTGGAGAAAGACGTCAAAAACAAAGATTTAAATAAAACTATTCTTTATAAGTGTGCATTTGTGAGACTATTCATATTTCAAACACTCAGTTTGCTGAAGTAATCACCAGCACAGATTTGTCTGAGAGATGCTTTCAAAGTAGCTGTTTTAGTCTGTAAACAGATCACTTGTGGCTTTACAATTGTGAAAAATGGAACACGATAATTTTGTGGTTCAATTGGTTAGTATGATGAGAAAGATTTTAAATTAATCCTACTTATATTACAATTCATGTGTAGTTTTCTACTATCTTTTAAGCCAGAACTATATTCAGAAAAAAAATTCTATGTTTAAATAGAAACATTTATTTAGTTTAGTTTATGTGATCTGGAACAGTATTTTGCTCTTTATTTTTAAAGGCTAGAACTTGCTGGAATGGTTAAGTAATAATATACTGGCAACAGTAGAGAGATCCCAAAGGAAATAGAGCAGGAGTTGCAGTCCTCACCCTTTTGCGCTGTTATATAGATCATGCTTTCACCCGATTCCTTGAGTAGGTGGACCTGGGTTCCACCTGTACTGCTTGATTTTGAGCTGGGAAAACTTAGAAGATTCTTAGAATTCTGGAAGTTTGAAAAGTGAATATGAGTTCACAATTTGGCTTTCTTGAGGTAACTTTTATGATTAACCTGATGGTCTGATGCAATGGTAAAACAACAAACTTTTCAGCCTTGGATAAGATGGCCAATCTAGTTGCTTTTGTCGTGGCCTCCTTTTCCCCATCCTTCAATAACTGAGGATCCAACAGGAGGGCAACCTACTCTTGTAAACAAGAAGGCAGAGGGTAATGTGGACAATGTTGAAAAAGGCAGGGAGATTGACTTTCTAAATTTATCAGTTTATCTTAAGGATGACCAGTTAGAATGTGTAGGAAATAATTTAACATATGTGGGACAAAAAGGCAATTAAGAGAATGGAAAGAACACTGGACTGTGGGTCAGAGACCTGTGTTCCAGGCACAGATATGACATTTTCTCTTTTAGGTAAGTCCTTTAAAACTTTTGTGAACCGTGTTTTCCTCACTGCAAGGATCAAATGATTTCTTATATGTTAAAAGTACTGAATAATCAAAGAACATGTAACTATAATATATTTAGCATCTCAGTCCTATCACAAGATATGTTTAATTCCCAGCCCAACAACAACTTTTATTACCTTCCAAAATCTAACATTATTCTTGTTAACTTGTATTATTTTTTTTAAATCTCATTAGGTCTGCACCTGCATCCATAACTCTCTCTTCACTTTACTATAAACATAGCATACTAATTCATGTGTCTGTACCATTTTATGTTATTTTTCCCCTTTGTAGTTTATCCAAATCTCATCCATTCTTCAAGGTCCCAGTGAAATCCATTCTCTTCAAAAAAGCCATTTTTAGAATAGAACAAATTATCTACAAAGTTGCTACTCAATGTGAGGTCCAAGGATCAGAAGCATAAGCACCTCCTGGGAGCTTGTTATTAATGCCCCAGCTCTGATTTACTGAATCAGAACTTGCCCTTTAACAAGATCTCAAAGTGACTTTTATGCATATTCAAGTTTGGAGAACTACTGATCTACCACACTCATTCTGGAAGGTAGTCATCTAATAGAATTACCTGTTTCATTTGTGTAGCGGTTTTTCCTTAAGAAAATTAAAAATCCTAAAGTCCGGGAACAATGTTTTATAATAATACCCATAGTTCAGCTTCATAGGAAATAAATTTATTTACTCTCATTAGAAAGGGATATACTCATAAACTGCATTTGCTGACGGAGACAAAATAGGTATATTCTAATTCCTGAGTACTGTACAAGGTTAGAAATTGTACATGTGGATACTTATCTCTTACGTTTGACCATAGTATTCTATTCTACTTTTTCATTCAAAATAAAGGAGCAAGAAACAGTGATAAATGCCACATCATTTTCTGTGAAGATATCAAACCTTGCATTCTTTTTTAAAAGAGAGCTAAATAAGTCTATACCCCATTCAAATGGAAAGCTGAAATGTGATAATGCATAACCTATGTCAAGCATTTCAGTGTGGAAATGACCTTGGCCAACCAGAGCACCTTTATCAATACACTCTTGGACCCGTCTCATTTATAGCTCAGGTGCTTACTGGCCGTTGTCTAGGGAATCTCAGTATCAAACGAGAGGAAGCTGAATTGGTCCCTTGTCTAAGTTCACAGATTAACCTACATGAAAAGAAGTAGATGAATCAAGCCAAATGGTTTCATGTTTGGGGAAATTAATAGTTAATGTCCTATTAGATTATAAAAATCAAAGGTTCAAAAGTGATGATTCTAATGTTATATCCCAAAATATTACAAATAGTCATTAGGCTATATCTTGGTGGATAAAACAAACATTGATATCTTTTCCCCACTTCAGCTAAAGTTAGATGATCCGTAATCACAAGATACAAATGATGTGTTTGGGGAAGTTAGCCGGATTTGTAGGGAAACCAAGCAATGATTTATTCCACAGGATTCCTGCTGTGCTACAAATCAACCTGTCCATTTGAGAAGCCCCATTTTCAGCTAGTTGATGTGATTCAGAGTTCTCTGTGTCATAAGAGGCCAGCCAGAAGAGAATTATTAGTTAACTTCACAGAGTCATCAGTAAGATCCTGCATAATTAGATCACCTTATACATTTTAAAAACAATGAGTACAAGGAGTTCAATAGCAGGTCACCCTCTATCCTAAGCTAGATAGGAATGTAAGCCTGCCTAGTTATTTGGCATGGATGTTCACTAACAGAAAGGAGGTGTGATTTCTTCTTTTAAAATATCCATGTTCTTTGAATAGTGCCAGAATGCCAGATTTCTATCTGAAGCTGGTCTCTCAAATCTATCTGGTTCTGATTTTGGCATTAACCGTAGGAGTATGAAGTGTACTCATTTTAAATTGTGTATTTCCTGTGTATGTATTTGGAGGATAAGTGGAGAGAAGAGCACTATTGTGCTGTCAGTATAGATACTGAGATCCTTTGCATTTTAGACCAACAAAGAGAAGATCCCCAAGGGTCTATCTTATATTTGCAGTTTCTAGGTACCTTTTGGACATTTATTAAAAAATTAGAAAGGCAGCATTCTGGCTCTATGATAAACCTGTATGACACTAACCAGAAATTCCCATTTAAACTATATGAAGAGTTCTGTAGGGAGTGTTTTATGCCACTGTTTATGGACATTAGGCCCTAATTTAAAGTTAAAATGGTTGTAAGCTTTTCTAAAAATCTCTTTGCTAAACAGGTGATTTACTGTTCTTTAAATGGCACAGTGGTGGTCTTGACTTTGCTGTCAGAAGCAATTAACATGCCATACTTTAATTTTATTAGTTGAATGCATGACCTGCAATGGGGAAAGTTATCGAGGTCCCATGGATCATACAGAATCAGGCAAGATTTGTCAGCGCTGGGATCATCAGACGCCACACCGACACAAATTCTTGCCAGAAAGGTAAAATACCACCAACTCATGCTTCCAATGATTCTTTTTACAAACTGTTATTTGCTGCATGACAAACTGCCATGGAAATTCTCTTCATATGATGTTTTTTGGATAGTCTTGGGGAAAAGGGATTTGTGATGAAGTATATGAGAATGCTAGCTACACCTTCAGCTGGCCTTGGCTGACTAGGTTAAGAGTCCCTGAAATCAGGATGGTCCTGAACCCAGGAGCATCAATGGGGTGCAGAAGGGAAGCACTAACAGAAGCTTCCTCTTTCTCTTCCATAGCAGAAAAAAGACAGAGGCCCATTCGATAGTGACCACTTTCACAGGCCCAAGCTGTGGGAGGAGGCATTATTGCTAAATACAAGCCAATCTCCTTCTAAAGCCACATCTTCAGTGACTTAGGTAAAGTGGGGTCACATGTGTGACACAGGTCATGCTCGTAGAAAAGGAATGAAAGATGAAGCAAACAATTCTTTCCCTGTTTTATTCTGGTGTATTTTGAAATTGCCAATCTGGAGAAGTCAGACAATGAAGTCTACTTTTCTCCCAGAATTAGGTTTTGAGCTTAAATAGCTACAAAAACAAAATGTCTACTTTGGCCCATTCATTTCACATGAAACTTTTAGTTGAAAAAAGAAAAAATGAATTCCCTTATTTTTATTATAAAGAATAAAAATGCAAATAATTATAGAGTAAACTCTATCCTCACCTTTTTTTGTTAATTGCTGACAGGAGTTTTTTCTTTCTTCTTTCTCTAACTTTTTGGTTTTTGTTGTTCTTTTAAATGAAATTAAAACTCTGATATATTTTTAAGTGCATCTCTTGTCTTTTAAGTGAGAGCTGAAGGGATATGGTAGCAATTAAAATCAAGTTACCAATTCAGGACTCTGTTAATTTAGAGGGAGGAGGGTATAGAGAAAGTGATATGATGGAGTTTGTCTCTTGCTCTGCTGGAGGTGAGCGCATGACCTAGTAAGGCTCTATTTCCAAAATTGAGCTATCGTTAGTAACAAAGTTATTGAAATCTAACTTTCAGTTTGAACTTTAAGCCTGCCCTAGAAAAGGACCTGTTTTCTTAATGAGCATTCTGCTTGAGGTCATGTTTATGTAATCTATCCTTAATTGGGCTTTGTGACAAAGGGATTCAGTTTGGGACCTCAACTGGTGGACAGGTACCAAATGGACCTAACTTAGTAGCAAAAGGGATGGTACTCTATACTTAGTAAACTATGTAAGTTAATAGATTTAATAGTCACTGACTAGCAGTCCTCGTAAAGCAAAGCATAGAAAAATTCTTTTTTCCCCAGCTAGTAGTATCCAAGCTAAGTCGAAAATTATTTTGTGAGTTGAGGGCTGGGTGGTGTTTCCAGGCAGATTTACGTGACACTTTTCTTGGTGTGGTTTGCAGATATTCTGACAAGGGCTTTGATGATAATTATTGCCGCAATCCTGATGGCAAGCCGAGGCCATGGTGCTATACTCTTGACCCTGACACCCCCTGGGAGTACTGTGCAATTAAAATGTGCGGTAAGTTAGGGTCAAATTTATTGCTTCCTTTTCCTCTCACAGACTGGATCTAAGCAGGCGATTATTAGTGAGACAGGTTAACAGCTATTTTACTTGATGCTTTAATGTGTGTGGGTTTTAATATTTTAAGAATGTGTTACATAATCCTACCCAATCTTTTGAATTTTCAGAGAGCCATCATTTTGAAAGAGATAAATATGCAAGTGCACACATACACACAAAATATTTATACTTATGTTAAAGGCCTAAACATTTTCATGCTGTCAAGAAAGAGAAAATCTACAGAGGGAGAAAAAGATCAGGGAATATGTGCAGTATTGTAATGTTGTCAGAGCCATAAAAGCTAGGACCTTAGATTCTTACCTTCCAATCCTGTATCCTTTCTCTACTTTTCCTCACCAGACATAACATGAGCTGTCAACTGACTGTGAACCTCTTCTAGTGAATGCAATGAAGAATAATAAATCTAATAGATGCTTCTAATAGATGTCTTTAATCTCTAGTAGCTGGTCCCCCCCCCCCACCCCGGCTGTCCTTGTACGCAGCCTGCACTCTATTTCAACCTGTCTTTTGGCAGTCCTATAGTCTTTTTCTATATATTGGCCTTTACCCAACTGTCTTCAATTTATAATAAAAAGTGTTTTTTCTCGCTTGCTTTGTGGTATCCCTTTAAATCTGTATACTTGGTCCTCTCTTCCATAGTTAACACACATTTTTACTCTTCTCTGAAATAATACTAAATAATAATGAAATATAGGCGTGCCTTTATTTCTCTGAGTACAGGTCTTATTTTTTCAACTGGATCCTAAAATGTTTTAAGACCAATGGAATTGCAAACATTTAGTAAAGTGTAATAATGTTATAAATTGGTTTGATAGCATAAAGATTTGTATATAGAGAGAGCTATAAAAAGACAAATTATCTACATAAGATCAGGCACTAGCACCCAGAATGATAAATATACAATTATGAGGGTATGGATAAGTATTTGTGTATTTTCCTAGAACAGCATGATAAGGATATTCCTTTGAACAAGTATTCAAATTCAGTATTATCCACACTATGATACTGCCAGGGTAAATCTCTCTCCACTTAGACTTGCTAATAAAGGAAATGTTTTGGACCACTCAAATAAAGCCCACAGAGAGGGGATGTGCCTGGCATATGTGAAATAACTGCAGGTTCTGGAAGGCTCTCAATGTGAACACAATGTTCCAAGGAAATTGAGTCATCTGTTTGGTCCTTTAAAATAAAAGATGACTCCTATGACAGTGTTTCTCTGTATAGATTAATTCTACTCATTGACTTTTTAAATCTTGTTAATCTTTCCATCATTCTAGATCATTTAAGTACAATAAACCAACTGTTTCCCTTCCATTTTTTGTGTTTTAGGTACTATTATAAATCATCTCTGGAATAAGACCAGTATAAATAACACACACACACACAAACACACACACACACTCACATACACATTCACCGGCACATTCACCCTTTAACGGGCATGCACACACCAAAAAAATATCCAAGTGTTGCCCTCCTCTTCAGTTCCCAACCAACCTTTGACTATTTTTATAGGACATTGGGAGAGGAAAGAAATAGAATGAATATGGCACTTCCTAACTATTACATAGATTTCTTTTTCTTTTCTATCCAAAGAGGAGTTGGCTTAATATGCACCTAACATGCAATAATTCTGATGGCTTTGTTAAACAGAGAGTGGTGTTTATAGGATGTTAATTCCAAGAAAATAGTGGTAGAATTTGTGAGCCAAACCTATATAGTTAAGGTTAAAATAATCTTTAGAGCTTTGGGAATATTTTAGAAATATTTCATCACAGGACAGCTTTTAGTTTGTAAAATTGTGTCTAGAGACTACAGTTTTATTAAAATGAATGAAACAAAGTTGACATTCTGGCATTCTGGAAAGCATGAGAAATAATGCTTTATGAATATTTTTCCAAATATTTTGGCTTATGTATATCTTAAAGTCTATAATGCAAAACCAAGAAATTTGGTGTTGGTTTCAATCATGTAATAGTTTTCTACTGCTGCATGACACATTACCAAAAACTTAGTGGCTTAGAATAACACACATTTATTGTCTCATAGTTTCTGTGGGTCAGGAGTCCAGGCTTTACTCAGGTGGGTTCTCTGCTTAGGATCTCACAAGGCTGTGATCTAGGTGCCCACTAGACTTACTATCTCATCTAAGACTCAATGTCTCATTCCAAGTTCACTGGTTATTGGCAGAATTCAGTTTCTTATGGATGTAATGCTGGAGTCCTCAGCTCCTAGAAACTGCTTGATGTTTCCTACCACATGACCCTCTCCACGATATGGCAGTTTACTTCTTCAAGGCCAACAGGATAGCTTTCTGCTACTTTGAGCCCCTGACCTCTACACCCTCTTTTAAAGAGCTCGCCTGATTAGGTCAGGCACACGTAGGGTAATGTCCCTTTAATTAACTTAAAATCAACTGATTAGGGACTTTAGTTACATCTGCAAAATCTCTTCACTTTTGTTGTACAACATTAAGTTAATCACAGGAGTGGCTCTCCCATCATCTTTCCACTCACACTCAAGGGGAGGGGATTATACAGAGTGCACACCAATGGGTGGGAATCTCAGGGGCCGTATTAGAATTCTGTATACTACACACATATTTACATGCACTGGTTGTAACAGAATTCACTTTTTATTTGAGTCATTTGATTATTGGACGAGCTTTTTGCTTATCTCTTAGTCCCGACTGCTTGAATTCCTTGTGAGTTTTCAACATGTTTGAAGAATAGTGTTGATGATTGTGTCATTTATCCTCTCAAAAGTTGAAGGAGGATTTTTAACTCTTGTTTTATTGTATAATAATTGTATTAGAAAATTATAATTGCCCCCATTTAACAACTACAGAAAGCAGCTTTCCATCTACCATCAGTAATCCTCATTTCAGTTCTACAAAATGGCTGTGATTAGGCCAGTAAGGAAAGGTGTGCAAAGGCGTGGACGGGTAGAGCAGCATTGCAGTATCAATTAGGTTGATATGAATATGAATGGGATGAAAACAGAGAAATGGAAGAAGATGAAAAAAACAATATTGGTGGAGGCAGATCAAGCAGAATTCAAGAGCAGCCCATCCATTTGCCATGAGAAATACTGAAAAATTAAGCAGGGAGAGTGGTCTTATCTGATTTGTGATAGTAGTCTCCAAATTGGTATCCACGAAACCCAGGAGAATGCAAAGACTTTCCTAAGGGTCTGTGGACACAGATAGCTTAAAGGGCTCAAATTCCAGCTCCTCTCCTTCTATATGAATTCTTTCCCAAAGTCTTCTGCTTGAGATGCATGTGTTCCTAAGGAGTCAGTCAAGTTCAACATCCTACCTTCCCATTCACAACGGCCCTTGCCTACTTTACTGAACAAAGGTATACTCTCCACCTTTCCTGAATTTTAATGTGGTACATTGTCCTGGGTTATAGAAACCTTAGGGATACTAAACAAAGAGACCTTTGAAAATACTATATATTCATGCTGTTTATTATTTATGTACTACTAGTAATTATATAACTCTATCCAGAATGTGTACTTATACATACAGATGTGTGTTTGTATGTTTAGTGTATGTGTGTATTTATCTCTTAGAATTTTGTAGTCTCAAAAAATTTAAAAAATTAATCTCAATATATAAAAATCTTTCATAAAAGTTGAGGGGGTAAGGAATAAAAGTTCTCCAACATAAAATACATTGCATTGCAATAACATTCTGTGGGTAAAGTGGAATAGAAAAATGATTCAAGGAGAAACAAAACTTGATAATGTACCTTTTATCTCGAAACAGGTAGGTATCAAATCACCGTGGTATTTAAAGTCCATTAAATCCACTTAAAAGAGTGATATATATTTTTTTGTATAAACAATGTTAATAGTTAAAATATACTAGAAATCACATCTTTTGCAACTATTTAAACTTACCATAAAAAGTGTAGATGTCGACTTAAAAGTATGAGAGGGAATATGAAGAATTGTTCAAAATTCTTCTAGTAACAAGAGCAAAAAAGAAAAAAAAAACCCAACATATAAGAAAGGAGACAGGAGGGACTGATGAGCTCTGATTTTAACAAGCTAGTAAGAAAGAGACTGTGAGCTAGGGCAGTGAGCAGTAAGAATAACAAAGTGAGGAAGGATGTGAACAATGTTAAAGAGGTAAAATGTCCAGTTTATAATTCAAATTAGATGTAGTGGAGAATGAGGTGGGAAAGGGACAAGTCTAAAACCTTTCCTAAGTTATTGGGTAGATGATACATATTTGAGAGCAGTATAAATTTGAGGAGAAAGATAATAAGTTTAGGTCTGCTTATATTGAGAGGCAGGTGTATGATGTCTGTGCTCATAGCACATCTACGTTCAGTCTTCTCTGAAGGTCATACAAAGTTATAAGTGAATAGTGATAGCAAAGGCGTTGGGCGTTGCTGCACTCCCAGGGAGCATATAGAGAATATAAAGAGGATGGTTTAATGCTCTTCTAGATGCTGGGGATATAGAAGTGAAAAAAAACAGGCCAAGGCCTATGATAAAACTGAAATTTCAGAGCTTTAGCACAAACTAGTAAAGTAAAAGCTGGCATTGCCTTGACATTGGGCCATTCACACCTTTCAGAGGCAAGGTTTTGAATACTGCTCTCAGTTCCTTTTATTTGTTAAAAAGCTGAATGAACCACAAGTTTGCTCCTGTCACTTTGCTTCCAACCTTCTAATCTTGTAATCAGTGTATCACTGAAAGTGAACGATGAATGTTACTCATCACCAGACAAATGTGTGCCATAGTGTCCAGGACAGGCCTTCTCAGTCTTTCACACTGTATTCCTCAGAAGGTCATTTCTACCCAAACAGCAGCAGCAAATATGCTGGCTACAGAACTTTTTTTTCTTTTTTTTTTTTTTTTTTTTGTGAGGAAGATCAGCCCTGAGCTAACATCTGATGCCAATCCTCCTCTTTTTGCTGAGG